ATGAACCGGATTATACAAGAAACAGTGTAGATACTTACTGTTAACGAACAAGAGCACAACATGTTACGGTATCCTTCGAAATCCGCATGCATTACCAATTAGTCATCTCTTTACAGCGATCGTTCTCTTGCCCTCTAGACAGTTACACTTATATTTACAAACTTCCCTCTAGCAAGTGCAAACTACATCACTTCTCATGGAGTTCTTTTGTGCTGCATCGTAACTATGCATCCTTTCCCCTGGAAAAAAGGTTGATTATAGAAAAATAATTTGTATTTAAGTGGATGACACTTACGATGCAACCATAAAGCTCCAACTAGTTCACCCCATATGCAGTTCCACAATCCTTTCATGTGCTTCTTGACCCAGCATCACACTCATTAATTTGTTTAGCCACAAAAAGATGGTCAGCTTGGAGAAAATACAATCAGTGAGTTAGCAACCACTTAGACGTATGTATGGAAGGAAATGTCACATGTTCACTTGGATTTAATAAGATCCTAGTCTAAAAAATGTAAAAGCTTATCGATATTAAAATAACATAACAGCTTATCAATCCCAAAACTCTCAGCTCCTCTTTGATGTCTTTGACATTCGTATATAACACAAAACTGATTGCTTAATTATTTCTTGCTAGAAGATAAATACCGTATGTAATACCTGTTGATGACAGAGGGACAAGTGTAGTAGCTTGCAAGATTAACCACCTTGTGTGCGCCTAATATGCCCCAAGAAAAAGTTAATGTTGCTAGGACTCCTGCACGTCCTCCAACTGTTCCTATCACACATTGTGAGATTTTACTCAATAACACAGCTATTTTGTTATTTAAGATTGAACCACAAGAAAAAATAGGCGAAGGAGCTTTTGGAGAAGTGTATAAAGGATTGTTACAAGTGAGTCTATTTAATTAGATGGAGCGTGTCAAAACTGGATGGGATGCAAAGCATGCTTTAAGGATGGAATCTGGGGTGCACGTATTCCAGTTGCTATTAAAACACTGCATTCTACCAATATGACTGCAGATGACCGCATCAAGTTTCTTCAGGAGGCAAATATAATGAGAGGATTCCGCCATGTGAGTTGACTGGTGGTTTCATAGATGCGTCTCAAACAGAAAGGTAACTTTGATAACGAGTAGAAAGTCGATTATATCGTTTAACTTTCTAAACGACTTAGACTTATATAGAAGAGCACATCAGAATGTTAACATGCAACTATGGGGTAATTCAATCATTGTGAAATAAAAAAATCAAAGAAATTCGGCATGCTGCGCATCGATGGGGAATTTAACCAGTCCAGACATCACGATTATACTACAAAGGAAGTTTCCAACTTGGTGCTCCCTAGCTTTTTGATAAATGACGCTACCTCAGCAAAGGGCGTATGCTTGGTCTCCACTGAAGATGTTTTTCCACGCACTAGTAGTTCTGCTAATCCATGAAAAACCAACAATTTTCCTACCAAAAAAACTTTTAATTAATCCTCGTGCGCTAGCAAGACATATAAGAGTTCTGTGTTCGTCA